GAACTTCTTTTTTTTCTTATTCTTGTGTTTTTTATTGATGATCTGCAAACTGAAAATGCTAACCGCTAGCATTACCGCTAACAGACGGAAAACCGGTAAAGTGCCATTTATGTTTATTGCAGCAGATCTTCAGATAAGATTTTTGATTTGGTTGTTTGGGCAAATTTCTACTTCACAAGTTCTGCCAAATAAATTAAAACATTTCTAAAACTGAACCTTAGATCTTTTGACATTTTTAGAGAGAGGAAAAGTAGCTTAAGAGCTTGATGTATGATATGTTTATGGTATGTACAAGTGGTGTCATACCGATATTATCGGCCTATATCAATGGTAAACCAATATTATCGGTAAACCATTACTAAAATGGACCTGGTCAGTTGGTCACTTAACGTGATTGATAACATTTTTCAACGATGAGAACGGGAGAAGGGGCTCCCGGATGCCCCTCTGGGACAGACCCAGATGGGCATATCATGGACTCCTGGAAACAGTGGAACTTGATCTATTTATCTCAGCTGTCTGTAGAGGATTCTGAAGACGTCTGGATTTTCGTGGTGTTGGTGTCAGGTTTCCTGCTCTTTGGCCTAGGAGGCTTCCTGGCTTACGGGAAAATTAACAAGCTGTCGAGGAATATTGGCGCTCTCCCCGAGCTCAGGGATGGATTACACCGCGCTGTGAATTCACAGACTCACATAATTGTCAAGATGAATCGTAAGCTTGGAACTTTGGCTGAGATTCATGCTTTGGCACAAAAGATGGATGCCATCAAGGAGAAAGTGGACAAATCAGCACGGATTGGGATAGATTAATTTACGCCATTATTGGGATTTTGAGAGGATGAGGACCAACGGAACTTTGAGACAGAGAGGAAATTATCTCTGTCTGGCCCCAAAACAATTTCTAATCTGAATCTGGTGCCCTTGAGCCTGTAAGGCTGAAACGAGTATTCCCCCTCAGAAGAAATGTGGAATGCTGCCGTTGCTGCCGTCGCTATGGCAACTCTGTCTCCTATTGATTACACATTGATCATTAATTGATCATTCATTCATTCATTCATTCATTCATTCATTCATTCATTCATTCATTCATTCATTCATTCATTCATTCATATCCCAGCCTGGGCGGGACTGCGGGCTGTGAAGGCCGCCAAATCATTCCAGGAGTCACTGTGCCCTCCAAACCTCAACGGCCTCCTTCCCCTGTCCAGACTGAGGTGGCGTGCGCTGCTTATCGTGGTTGCAGGAACTGACGTGCGGAGAGTCCCAAACCCACCACCCCACCTAGTGGACACTTATGTTGAGTAATGTCTGAGGTCTGTTGCGTTTCTGTCTGAGGTGTTTTTTTGCATTGCAAAGCTGCCCTCCCTGTGGAAGGTAACTCTGAAGTGCCTTTTTTTCCTCCACCTGAACCAATCCTCATGTAACCCTCTGATCTCTATTAAGGTAGCGCGACTCAGGGTTGCGAATGACCACAGTCACCAATTCTTGTCATGTCTTTGCCTGTATGTCTGATCTCTGAATTGTGTGTACTGAAACTCTAATTTCCCTCTGGGATTAATAAAATATCTTTGAATTGAATTGAATATCAATGATAAACCGAGATTATCGGCTGATATCAATGATGAACCAATATTATCGGACATTCCTTGTTGTTCTACTTAAAGCAAAATATTTCTCATCTTTACAAGTCTGGGGTCGAAAGCATGCTTTGATTTTTGAATCACGTTATGGACAAGCATTAGAACCACAATGAAATAAAAAACAATGGATTATTGTTTTAAAAAAGATGCATAAATTGCTAAATTATTAGCTAATTTCCTATATAGCATACTGATTAAATAAACAAACAAAAAAAAAGAAAAGAAAATTTCCTGAGCTCACTGTGGGGCACAGAGTTGCACTGTTGCCTCACAGCAAAAAAAATTGTCAGTTCGGATCCTGGCTGTAGACCATCTGCATGGAGTTAGCATGCTCTCCTAATTCACATGTGCGTTTTTGACCCAGGTGCTCCGGTTTCCTCCCACAGACCAAAAACATGCATGTTAGGTTAATTGGACACTCTAATCCTAACTCTCTGTTTGTCCGCGATGGACTGGACATTTGTCCTAGGTGTCCCCAACTCTCGCCCAATGAGAGCGGGAGTTAGACACCAGCTCTCAGTGACTCTATGAGGAATAAGTGATTAAGCTAATGAGTAAGATACCCGAGCTCACTCCTGCCATACCACACAGTTGTATAATAACTCAACATAAAGTCCTTTTGTTTTATTTCTGTATCATTTATACACGCGTCCTTTAGACGATTCAAGAAAAAGACGTGCAGCTGCAGCGCTGACATCGGAGAAGATGAACAATTGTCGCCTTCTTTCAGGACGAACAATGTTCTCCTGCAGAATCACTTCAGATAAAATCATCTCTGCAGAAAAATGGCTTTTACTTCCCCCTCAGGCCAGATGCCATCAAGATCAGACTTACTCTGGCTGGCTTATCTGTGCAGATAAACCAGTTATCAGACTGTTCAGGAGAGATGATCATGCTGCACAAAGACCGATGACAGATTCTTTAGAAAACACAAAGTGAACGCTTCCTTTGAAACTCATAAACAGTGCAGGAGTAAATAATGTTAAGCAGTTTCAAGATGGTTTTTCTCAGGACTTTCACTTTTATGTCATTTCATATTTGCAGAAAATCATCTTACTATGGCTGTGTAAAGGGATGCTTTACATAGGAAATAAACACACTAGAGACATTTTAAAATGTGTATTAAAATGGTAATGTATATTTTAAAAAAATACACATTACCATTAAAACAAAATTATTGGGCCACTAATTACTGTAAAAAAATAGTAGTTTACATCTTACTTATGAACCATAAAATGTGAGAGTCCATAGAAATATGAAATATCAATCTGATGGATCTTTGAATATTTTAACCAGAAGATCAGAACTTTTTATTGCAGGGATTACTTGACACTTCGTATTAACTCCGAGGAAAGAAAGTGAGTCAGGTTTATGATGGTTAAGAAATTTATTTCTACACAATTTAAATGAGACTAACTTTAACACTCTGTGTACTGATGGAACTAAGGTGGAGTGAGACGGGCGATGATGGTGGGTGTGCGGAATGTTATCAGAACCAGCGGATCCGGAGAAGCAGTTAGTTCTGAGTAGGAGTGATTGTTTCGCTCTAAACTATGGTTGGAGATTTATAACACACATGAGACGCCATCTGTCGGTCTACGTACCCAGGGGAAGCCTCCGTTTAGATCCAGAATGTCGAGGTACTCTTGGACCCACCTTGGTACCAAAGCCGGTAGAAAAGCAGCGGTGCCGACCAAACTAGTCTTGGAATGCTTCCAGGTCACGACAGTTATTATTGGCATCAGCAAGACCCTGAAGGGGTCGTGAGGTTCAGCTTTTATTCTGAAGGAACCGTTGCGGTCAGGTGCAACTTGCAACAGATTTTATCCAGCTTGTCTGAGGTTCTTTTGGCTGAAGAGGAATCCGGATGCCCTGTCCGAGACTCCTCTAGAATGCTTTGGATTAAAGAAAAGGTGGCGTGGAATAGTTTTTATAATTGTCATATTTTGGTTTACTGGCGAATCAGAATTTGACATTCAAAAGAGGGTTTATACAAACACCACAGAAAACCACGCCTAGCCAGAAACAAAGGTTCTGATTGGATCAGACAAAAGGAAATGTGGACTTTAGCATTATGTGTCATCAGTGTCTGGTGCAAATGTCCAGGATTATAATTACTTGTAAATTACTACTGATCACAGGATTATAATATCAAGTAATAACATTGTCATTTCACAGACTGATTGAACATTGGGCTCATATTATTATTGGTAATAACAAAGTTGTTTGATTATGTGTTTATCAAAATAGTGTTCTTCGTCTTCGTCTTGAGCTGTAACAGAGATGAAGCAGTTCAGATGAGCAGAGTGCATGAAAGACCTTGGCCAATATCTCATGTAGATTAAGCCTGTATCAGAGACTTTATGTCTCTGCTCGAGCAATTTGTTTGATTAGACTTTTAAATTGCTTATTATTATTGAGCTACAAATAACTTTAAAGAGGTCCTTCACTGAGAAAATATGTTTTACTTATTTTTGATAAGCCAGTCACTCTTGAGTTTTTCATGCAGGCTGAACCTATCTACACCCATCTCCTGCATTAGAAAACAGACGGTGAAACTTTAGGATTAGAAAATCCTGACAGATCTACGTCACACTGTCACTTAACACTCACAGACTCACCCATCTTGACTCACGACGGGGAAGGCTGTTGTACGTTTAGCGTCCAGGAAACAGCAGAGAACGTCTTGGCTTGTAGAAGCTTACATTAGTATTAGCAACTCCACCACACAGCAGAACTCCTCCAGGCTTGTGTTATTTGTGGAGATAAAACATCAACGTTGCAGAGCAAACAAGAGTCAGTGGTAGTCATGTTGCCATTGGCCAATCTAAGGCGAGATTTTTAAATCTTTAATTTTTCGTGCTGAAACAGACGCACCAGAGCTTTTCCCCCCAGAGTACGACTTACAAGGCATTCATTCCTACTAGAGATAACTGAAAATGCATAAAAAATATGAGTGAAGGACCACTTTAAGAAAATGTACAAATTATTCATAATATTGATGCAGCAGCAGTTGAAATTATTCTATTCAGTTTATTTATATCCCACCAGATCACAAGAGTCGTCTCAAGGCACGTTACAAAGTAAACATTCCAACTGAACCTACTCATCAGTGCATCGAGTTCAGTTCATTATGCCAACTAGTTAAAAGTCCCCGATATAAGAAAACCCAGCAGGTTGCATCGAGTCACTGATGTGTGTCAGAGACTTGAGAACATCCTCATACTAAGCAAACATGTAGCGACAGTGGAGATGAAAACTCCCCTCAACACAAAGAAATTAGATGTATAAAAATTATTCACGTTGTTTAAAAGTATGAAATAATTTCTTCAGTTTGAGGAAAAAAGCGACAGACAGCATGTTGGGCATCAAACACATTTTATTTGAACTTAATGCCGTTTAATCCAACACAGTTAGTGCACATGCAATGTTTAAACATTTACTGTATGTTTGTACAAAGTTTGCTTTTTTTAAATTGAAAGCTATATATTTCAACGTTTATGTAATAAATTAACAAAACTGAAGCATTACCAAAAACACTGCCCACAATGAGAGTACACTTAAAGCGCAAAATACATGAGAAATCCATAAATCAGCAGTGATTGTGTTTCTTGCTGAAAATATTTTTCAAAAAACACAAATTCAGTGAGACACCAGAATGAAAAATAAATAATTCACATTGGACACGTTTGTTTACAGCGACAACAACCCTAACGTTTTTCATTTAAAGGTCTTCTGTGTGGGATTTTACCAAACAGAGCTAGAAACTAAAGTCACCATGAGTTACTTGGAGCTGAAAATTCATCTTCTGGTAGGTTTGTAAAAAGAAAATGCAACCGACTTGAACACTTTGTGCAATAATCAAAGTGCAAAGCTTATGAACAAAAGTAATGCCTCAACAGCAACGTCTGAGTGATTCATTAACAACAACTTACCTTTTCTTCGCCAATTTCTACACATAGCACCTTTAAAATCATGTCCTTCTTAAAACGTTGCACTAATTGTTAAATGCACAGTAAGAAATTGTACAAAATTGCACAAATCATTAAGAAAATAAATCACACCTAAAGAAAAACACAGCATAGTCAAGAAGGTACAGAATTATTTTTTTTTATTCTTTTCTGATCTCAAAAACACCTTAAAACCAAGCAAACCTTTTGTTGTGGGCCTGAGTGATGGAGGTAGAACTGCTGGGATAGTGGTTAAAATCCAGCATAGGCAAATTGGAAATCAACGGTTTATTTACCTTAAATGTTGGAATTACTGCGTTTAATATGGCTTACCCATGGCTCAGTCTGTAACCTCCCTCTGAACTGTCAAAGTGCTTTTGTCGGCGTTAAAATCTGCAGAACTGGGAGATTTAAGGAAGATATCTTTGAAAATGCTTTCTTACCAAGAGATAAATGAGATGCTAATACGAGGCTGCTTAATCTGATTTAATCTACACAAAAACACACAAAGACTCGTTTTATTTTAAAAAACAAATTAAAAAGACATAATCTTTTGATTGAGTAAACTTCAACTTTTCTAACTTCAACTTCTCTTTGAACATCTCCAAAAATGAAGCAGTTGTGAGTCATAAAAAGGCAGATTTCCTTAACTTTTAGGACTTAATGAAAAAAAATCCAACTAATATAAGATCACAAAAAGGGTCACGAGTTGTGAGTTTTATTTAAAGGCTTGAAAAACCAGAACAAGAAAATGCAAACATAACTCGCGTTTCCTTTATGAGCTTTAACGGCTTTTCTAGAAGAAGCAGGATTAACCGGATGAACCCGAAGAGCTGCCGGTTTTCCCTTTTGGCGAATTCCCTCCGATAACTGCCTCTCAGTTACAAAACCTTAAAAATACATCAGTCGTAATTCTGCTGAACATCCTCAGATCTGCTGTCTGAACACAGCTGCTGCTTATCAACTGCTGCTTGTTCACCAATTTATTAATTTACTTGTTTTGGGGGGGGGGGGGGGTCGTATTATTTTAAAATGGGTTTATGAATGAATTTACTTAACCAAGTTATGTCAACTGGTTCCACTAAAGCTGGCTTCTTAAAAAAATTGTTTCTTCTTCTTTAATACGTCAACTTTTTTTTCCTGAGCCCGTCCACTGAGCGCCACTCAGCGTTAGCCAATAGGGTTTGACATCCACTTACCTGCAGAATTGGCGACAACTCACTCTTTAAAGGTACAAGGTCGTGGGTGAAGAGAGAGCTGAGCCGGGAGGGGCTCAGAGTAGATCTGCTGCTCCTCCACATCGAGAGGAGCCAGTTGAGGTGGCTCTAGCATTTAGTTAGAATGCCTCCTAGACACCTCCCTGGTGAGGTTTTCCAGGCACGTCCAACCGGGAGGAGAAAAAACAAAGACTTGGGACATGATGGAGGGACTATGTCTCTCGGCTGGCTAGGGAACACCTTAGGATTCCCCCGAAGGAGCTGGCCCAAGTGACTGGGGAGAGGGAACTCTGGGCCTCTCTGCTTTAAGGCTGTTGCTCCCGCAATCCAACCCCAGATAAGTGGAAGAAAATGGATGGATGGAAGGTACAATATGTAAGAATTTTACAGTGAAATAATCACAGAACAGTCCAATGCAGTGGTCCGCAATAGAAGGCTAGAAAGAGCTCATCTGAAGGACAGCACAGAGGCACCCATCATGGCCCCCTGAACACCAGAGCAACAGAGGCCAAGATCTACCACACCAGACAAGACCCAAGGTGTAGGCTAGGCAAAGAGGCCCCTGAGACCAACCACCACATACTGGCAAGACGCTGAAGGGAAAGCATAAACGAAACGCCCCAACCAAGTGGCTGGTGTTGTGTACAGGAACATCTGTGCAGAGTACGGACTGGAAGCCCCAAGGTCAGAGTGGGAAACACCCCTAAGGTGGTAGAGAATGAGCGAGCCAAGCTTCTGTGGGACTTCCAGATCCAGACTGACAAAATGGTGATGGAGAACCAACCAGATGTTTTGGTGGTAGACAAACACCAGAGGACAGCCGTTGTGGTTGATGTGGCCATACTAAGTGATGGCATACACATAAGTGACTGATAATACTTTTGCCTCTAGATGGTGCCCTCTGAGAAGGAAACTCCTGATACCTGCTGTAAATGTAAAGCGTAACATTAGTTTTTATGCATTATATTATAAATGTATATTACTCTTTACATTTAAAGAGCAAGTCACCCCCAAATCAACTTTTTTTTCTGATAAACTATATAAATGTGTCTAATCATGCTGCAGACACGTGTAGTCAATAATTTTGCACTTTAGTGCATTTTAGTTAAAATTTTAATTTTCTGCCTAAAACTGTCAGTGTTGTGCCGTTGTCAGGTAAAAACTCTGCACAGCAGTTGAATTTAAATCTGCCATCGCTATTGGCTAAGAGGTACCCTAGAATGTTAGCTGGTACCATATGATGTCACAATGTCGTTGTGAGCCTGTGTGTGTGTGTGTGTGTGTATTTGTTAGTGGCTCCGCCCTCTCAGTCTGCTAGGCAACAGCATTTGTTGCATTTTTCAAACAGCAAGTGGAGGTGGAGTAATACTCTGGTAAGGGGTGACTTGCTCTTTAAGCAACTAGATTTCAATTCAAAAATACTTTATTAATCCCAGAGGGAAATTAGAGAACCAGTTGACATAATTTGGTAATTTTAACATTTCATTTCTTTGATTGCAGCTCTCAATTTTTCCAGCATTTTTCCAGCCTGCTCCCTGCTCCCGACCTTCCTGATATTTGGAAATACGTAAAAACAAAATGATTGTGTGATGGTTCGAATGCCATTGAAACACGTCCGACGGGCACATTTAGTTACAGACTGGCCTTAAAGGTCTCAATGGCTTTTGTTTGTCGCATTTAGCTAAAACTGAAGCTAACGGACATTTTTAAAAATACTTTCTTCTACTGCTGCTTAAAGTTTAAGTCTAACACTTTGAAAAACGAGTGGCAGATTTTTCCTGGAACAAACATAAAAAAAGGAATATTTTTTGTTGCGTGAACGGAAAAACAAGGCAAATCAATTCAGAGAACCAATGTGTTTGATGTGGTTTAAGAAACAGACAACAGGAAAAAGGCTAAATTTACTGAATTTAAGTTTTACCAAAAGAATCATGTGGTTAGATTGCAGGTGAAAAGTTTTCATCCTAATTTTTATGATTTAGGCCCTGTCCACACTTAGCCGGGGATCTGCCAAAACGTAGATATTTTTCTACGTTTTGGCCTGTCATCCACACGAAAACGGAGTTTTTTCACACGAAAACGTATCTTTTTAAAAACTCCGACCAAAGTGAAGATCTGCATTTTCTCCGTTTTGGGTGTCTGCGTGTGGACGGACAAAACTGGAGTTTTAAGGTCCGCAACGTCACTTTCCGCGACAAAAAAAATGCTGACATCACGTGTGCGACCTGTGTTTACACTAGCCAACAGCATGGATGCCCTCAGAGCTGCGCTCACTTTATCAATTGTCCAAGCGCTTTTTGCTTGTTTGTTTTTGCAAGCGGAATTACTGCTCCTTGAGGAAGACCACAGACGAAGGACGAGGTTAAGAACGGGGGAAGTACTGCCGCCTACAGGTCTGGCATGTCCTTAACAACGTATTTATCCGGGTACGTGTGGACAGAGTTTCTTTTTAAAACGAGGTGGTGTGGATGCAAGTTTTTGGAGGGGCGGATATTCGTTTTTAAAAAACCCAGCTACGTGTGGACTAGGCCTTAGACTTTCTGTTAAGAGTCTCGTAATAAATTCTAAGAAAATATAAATTAGCAAATGTTTTACAAAAGTATTAAGGGACATTTATTAATGAATATGTCTTGAGTGGCGGAAGCTCAGTGAGAGAGAGCAGATGGCTTCAAGAGATGAGAATAAATGCATATTTTCAAACTTACACTCAAAATAAATGAGGAATGTCAAACTTAACATCTACATGTTTAATGTTTATTCTTCTCTTTGTGCTGGTAATAAGTCCTCAAGTGCTTAAAAAAACCCTCATGCGATGCCCAAAAATGAAGCGGAGGGATCTTTTTTTAAGAGAAAAGCCAACAGATCCCACAAACTAATGGAATTAAAACATCAACGTTTGATTGTCAGCTGGAAATCCTCAGTTTAGACATCTGTTTTTGTTTGGAATCACCTGTTGGCTCAGTTTAGAAGACGTAGCATCCAGAAATCCGGAGGGGTTTACTCACTAATGTAGCTGCAACAGTTAAAAAACTAAATATACAACCTGGTTGCTAAATTGAGCACCTAGTTTAATAAAAAAGGAACTTTTATTTGCCACATTAAACACTTGTTTATGCAATAGTTTAACTATATACAGCATGTTGTATCTATTGCATTAGATTTTCTAATACTTTCTGCAAATCACATGAGCGTTTATTATTCTTATATGGAAAAAAGGATTTAAGGGGTTATTAATATTGCACTTTAAGCTACAAATTCTATATGTAGCTGTAACATTTTTATTAGCATCTTGCAGATTAACTACCATTACTAAAAGCAGCCTTTTTTTAAACTTCTTCTAATTTTCTAATGCATTTTCTGCCTTAGAGCATCTTTGGGGGGTGGGGGGTACTATTGCCTATGTTTTCCAGACATTGCATATTTTTAAAACACATTTTTTTCTGTGGGAGTTTCTCTCTTTTCACACATGAATGGATGAAGTTGCAGCCCTTCTTCAGTGAGGAGAAATACCAGCGTACAGGATGTGGGCAGCGGAAACGGCTGTCTGCAGCTGATTTTGAAAAGCGGTGCTTGTAAGACCGTGATTACATGCTGGTCGTCACATTCAGGGATTTGTCTTAAATATGATCGGTTTGATTATCTGGACCTGAGATTTGCTGCTGATGTGGAGTTTGCGTTAATGACGGTTTGAGGTTGTCAGTGTGGGACCTCTTCGTTTGAAAATGCCTCTGAAATTTAATTAATGAGTTTTTCAAGTAACTGCATGTTTAAGGGGAAAAAAAGAACAACTCCTTATTTTTTTACAGTGATTTTCTTCTTAGATACTCCAAAACAAATTTCCCTGAACCTAGAAAAAAATCCTTTTCTTTAAGAAAATGTAAGGATGCATCGAGTGTGGGTTTAAGGGCAACTGCTCATGATGCTTCTAATTGTGCTTTAGTAAAATAAAACACTGGCAACAGAAAAACTGGGTTGTGTTGAGACTCTGGTCATTTCTATCCACTGGTTGGATCCTATAAAGAGTTTAATGAGTTATAAGGTACTGCTAAAAGGCTGCAGGTCAGAGGACTTTCTATGGCTTGCTGAACAGCTTCATTGTTACAATAAGGCAAAATATTAAAAACAATTAGAGGCAAATTAATTATTTAGAGGAAGATTTTGATTTTGTTTCCTAGAGTTCAAATGTTGAGGAAAAAAAATTTAAATGTCCCTTAAAAATGTTGAGAAAAGCCAAAATATGTAAAAAGTCAAATATTGAAGAAGAACTTCTAAATTTCTAAATATTTAATTATTGAGAAAAATAATTCAAAATGTAAAAAAATTAACTTTAAAGGTGTGGTTTACTGAAAAATATTTTTAATGATTATTTCTGATTCTAATGGGTCACACCTAGAGCTCAGTGGCCTAGTGGTAGAGTGTCTGCCCTGAGACTGGGAGACCAGGGTTCGATTCCTGGTCGGGTCATACCAAAGACTTTGAAAAAATGGGACCCAATGCCTCCCTGCTTGACACTCAGCATTAAGGGGTTGGATTGGGGGGTTAAACCACCAAATGGTTCCCAAGCGCAGCTGTGTCTGCAGCTTATCGCTCCCCCAGGGGATGGGTCAAATGCGGAGAACAAATTTCGCACACACATCAGTGTGTGTGACAACTAATGGGACTTTAACTCTGAGAGTTTCATGCAGGCCGAACATGAAAATAGTCTCCTACACCTATCTCCTGCATTAGCTTCTGATAGAAGACAGACAGTGAAACTCTAGGATTAGAAAAGCCTGACAGATCTACGTCACACTGTCTCTTATCATCTTGACCAGGCCCCCATAATCCTGGGATTTTATGGGGGAGATGCTGTGTCATTTAACTGCTTGGTCAAACAAGTTGGTGGGGCTGCATAAGAAACTTGAGCGGCTGCCCAGCTTCTCCTGAGTCCTGCCTGGGAACAGTTGCTAGAGCAGGCGCCTGGCTGTTACAGTTTCCCAGGGTGGCGGGGACGCCCGGACCGCTCCGATGTGAGGCTGTAGTCATGCTGGTCACTTGTGGATCTCCGAGAGACCACAGAAACACAGCAGCTCTTTTAGTTGATGCTGCTTCACATTTGAGTGAAGCGGTCTGAGGCTGTGCTTGTAATTTAACAGACCCAGTCCATATTAGATCTCCACAGGTGACCAGCATGACTACAGCTTCGCACAGTTGGCCGAGCGAGTGGGAACTTTATTCTCCAAACTGGGAAACAAAAACAAACATCTTCCTCATTTTTCCCATCATGTCCCTAACATGCTGTCTATTAGAAGGCCCCACATTTGACTGGTGTAGTTTTTGCATCACTGTATAAAACACAAAAGGAATGTTACCCCACTGTTTTTGTATTTGTTTTTACCACAACTGATGTGAAATAGCAACAACCATGTTGTTTCCATTCAAATAAAAAGTCTTGGAATTACATTTCAACTCCCTAAACTTGAAGCAAACTCCTGGAATACTGTTGGCATCATAGCTGCTGTTTGGGGAGATGACAGTAGAAACAAACTAATGTTTATGTGCTGATAATATACAGATTTATTAAAGTTTTATATGATTTGATGCTCTTTTTAAGTCAGAAACTATTAAATAAAATGACAACTTGAATTCTTACGTGGATAATGATAAATGGCTTTTCCTCAGTAGATATAGATCGTATAGATGGGCAGTATCGTGCAGATAACATTCAAGACCTACATTAAAAGCAGCAGAGCCTTTCTGCAGTTCTGCAGGCAAGTGAGAATGGTGATATGAAGCGGTGCAAAAGAGATGGCACCGAAAAATTAAGAAAGAGATAGATGGTGTCAGTGGTAAATTGTTTTTAAGAGAATTTAAAGACATGTTTAAAAAAATCAACAGGACAAAACAGCTGGCAACAAGACAAGGAGCCCACCCCTCATCATGTACCGATAAGCAAAAAGGCAACACAGGGTGGCGAACCATGAAGGGGAGCCATATGTATGTGTGTGTGTGTGTCATGAGCTTTGATTCAATGTGGAACGACAGACAGAAAGAGCGATTAGTTAGTGCTAGTTACACATTGGTGGAGATCTTGTACTTGGGAGACATGTTATTATGGAACCAGATGAAACTAAAAATGACGCCCATGGTTTTGGGTGTACGCTCATCGTAGGCAAACGTCATGGCCTCGTGCAGCGGGACTTTCACCACCTCGATGAGCTCACCCTCGCGGGGCTCACCTCCTCCTGCGCTCACGCAGTTGTCGTCGGACACTTCGGCGTAAAACATGGTCTGTTTGGCGCCCGTTACGCCAACACCTGATCTGTGGGGAAGGAAAAGCTTGTTAAATCTTCAGCTTTTTCTGAACTGAGGCATTTTTTAAAGGCCGGACCACATAGTGCATTTTTTGGCGCCCCTGGAAAAATTTCTCGTCGTGAGCAGAATCGTGACAAAACATGGAGAACGTGAGATTGACTTGTAAGTCTATGGCCGTCCAGTGTGACAGCTTTATCACAATCTCACGACCAAAGTCAGCCTCCAACAGTCTTCAATCCCTGCTTGAAAACCTACGACTCCCGTCTGCAGTAAGCCACTGAAACAAACCCAGGGACTGATGCAAACAACTGGAGACGTGAGTAAAATACGTGAATACAACTAGCAACAACAGTGGAAGCTACATGCAGGAACAAGTGGACCACTCCTTACTGGAGTTTAGTTTGGAGTCTAATAAAAGAAGTGTTAGCAGTAGCGCTTTCATCTCTTTTCAGCATTGTTAGCTGTCGGCTTTTAGTGGCGTATGCTTTACGGGGGTGCGCTCGTGATGTTAGCGTGTCCTGCTAGTAGTGGCGGTTTTACCATTAGTTATAGGTCGGCGGCTGCCTGGGGCCCCCTTATGTTGGGGGGCCCCCTAGCCCTGACTGCTGGCACCCCTCTGTTAATTCCACAATGGACTATTCCTTTAAGACATCGATGCACAAACAGGAAGAGATCGGTAGTCATTCCACTCCAATCCAGTTGGTGGTAGTAATGCACCAAATTGTTGTTTGACAAGTGCCATAAGACCACAAATAAGAAGAAGAAGAGAGAAGAGAAAAAGACGAGGAGAGGAGGGAGCGTTCCTAACAAACTCGAAGCCATTGTCAAAACATTAAGCATGAAATGAGTTAGTGAAAATAGTGAAAATAACTCATGTAAGAAGAGGGTGGAGTTTTGCAGATTCAGTTAAAGATAAGATTGTCGAAAATTTAGTATAAGGGGGCCCCATGACTGTGTTCGCCTTGGGCCCACAAATTGCTAAATCCGCCACTGCCTGCTAGAGTGACACGACATGCAGGTTGGCTCACTGGAATCTTGGAACGTACACTGTGCCACCTCACTAGAGTTCTCACAATGCGTCATGAGCAATCCTGTGCGACAGACGAAAAACTCAGCGTGGTCTGAGCTTTAGATGGCATAGCTTAAAAGGGTCCTAGAACAACTTTTGTTTACTTTGGAGGCTGCTTTTTGAGCCGCCGTATAGCACGCAAATCAAAATCTGGATATTCCAAGAGCATCCTGAGGATTACATGTGTGCTTCGTCGTCTTTGAGGTTTTCCTCCCGCCCAACAAGAACGTTAGCATTACAGGGTATCTGCAGGTTTAAGGGAGCCAAATTTAAGACTTTTTAAGACCTTTTTTAAGGCCACTTTGACCAAATTTAAGCTTGTTGTCGTCTTCCTCCGCTTATCCGGGTCCGGGTCACGGGGGCAGCATACCAACTAGGGAGCTCCAGACCGTCCTCTCACCGGCCACCTCCACCAGCTCCTCCGGCAGGACCCCAAGGTGTTCCCGGACCAGATTGGAGATGTAACCTCTCCAATGTGTCCTGGGTCGACCCGGGGGCCTCCTGCTGGCAGGACATGCCCGAAACACCTCCCCAGGGAGGCGTCCAGGAGGCATCCTGACCAGATGCCCAAACCACCTCAACTGACTCCTTTCGATCCAGATCCAAATTTAAGCTATTTTTTCAATTAAATTTAAGCTATAATTTCCAGCTATTGCCTGGAACCGGTGCTAACAACGTCGCGAACGTGGGATTAACCATCCATTTACCATTAAACTTGCACTTCTCCATGGCGCAAGCTCCCACTAGCTTAACCAGCTAATGTGCTAATCTAAAAATAGTCCCCTTTCACAACCAACTGAATGTGTACGGTTCCGCTTACACCAACATCGTACACAAAAATGCTGAAGACTAACTAGAAATTCACAAAAATGTCATAGAAATAAAATAATCTAGTTTATTGGGTCTTTGGTAATTTAAGACCTTTGGAAACTGTATTTAAGGATTATTTGTCATTTTTAAGGATTTTCAAGGCCTTAAATTTGGAAAAGTAAACTTAAGGCTTTTTAAGACTTTTTAAGGACCTGCGGATACCCTGCATTAACTGGAGTTAGGGTTCTATGGTTAGCATTACCACCATCAACATTGATGGATTGGTGACGCTGAAGTGAGTTGGGACATGCAAGTTAAAGGGTGTGTGTCTATAGCCTCGATTCCACCACCCGAACTGGATCGGAACGGGTAGGTTTTCACTAACTTTCTGTCCTGATTGCTAAACCGGTCTACACAACCGACCCGGGCTGCGCCAGTCACAGGACTTTCATGGCCCCCTTCTGTTGTGGGTCCAAAAATTTGTAGAGCAGTACGGTCAGGGCAGAGCGGCAACAGTCCACTGACTGCGGGACAGAAATAGAAAATAGGAAAAAATACATGGAGATGCTGCAACCTGCTGGATGCTATTTATAGCCACAGACCGGCAAACCGAGGCAGGCCTGGACTCAGAGACCGCACTCTGAAGTCACTTGTGGAGCCTGTTGGTAAGCATTTCTTTTGTTGTCTATAGCTCTGCAGACTTTTTATTGCAACACAAAATTACTGAATAGCTGCACAACTTATTTATTATTTATTCAATGTTTATTTAACCTGGAAGGTCCCGTTGAGATTAAAAACCTCATTTTCAAGGGAGTCCTGGCCAAGGGGCAGCAAAAGTTACAGTCACAAACTTTTCAGCTACACAGACACGGTATGTACAAGATTACAGATTACAACACAGGGAATCCTCTCAAGGCTCTCAGTCTGGTTTTAAATGCATTCAAGGAGATGAACTCAGTTAATTTCCAATTTTATTTTTATTCAATTTATGAAATTGAGCAGGACGGTTTTTTTAAGCACAGCTGCCAACATGAGAGCTCACACTGCGATAGAAACGCTCTCCTGAAATAGCAGATCCATACCGGAACGCGCCGGTCCACGATGACCCGACCCATCCCGAACCCCAGCAGTGGATTCGAGGCTCAAGCTTATGTTGTGTTAAACACTCCTAATTTGCATAGGAAACAGTCATTTTGGTACACTTAACACCCCAAGCTGTCTGTATTCAACAAGATAACTCCAGGATCCCGTTAAAGGCCGCCTGTATGAAGCAGCTCAATCCCCCGTTTGGTTTCTGTCAGAAACACCCTCATAGGTTTCATGAGGGTTCAGCTGAAAACAGTCTTTATTATGGAAGAAGCCCACACATAACACGGGCAGCCTCAGACAACACCAACAAAGCTGGAGGAGGTGTTCGAGTCAAATCAAAAACACACTTATGAGAGTGTTCAGTCACGCCTGTCCAGCTGCCACAGAGGGATGTGGGACTGTTGCATCCTGCTTCTTTTAAATGCGCCGTCAAGCTTCAGGCAGCTAATATAAAACACCGACAAAGATGGATGATTTCCTTGCGGCTAACTTTCGTATGGTCGTAGCAGTTCCCCCTGAAATGCTGTTTTGGCCCTGTTGCTTATTATCTTTAACATCTGTCAGGTTACTGCAAACACACTACTTAAACGTGTGCAGAAGTATGTTTTTCTTGGATTAAAGATCTTGCAGAAGCGGGGTGTTATACTAACACGTTTTAGTGTATTGTACCCACTCCACCCCTCCTCCTGGACCAAAACTTCCTGTTCTGTACACCAAACCATAAATGGAGACAAACGGCTCGGCTGAAAAACCCACCAGAGTCTGATCCTGAATACTAATTGCTAAAACTGTTCTGGTCGAATTCATGCATCCTGTTTATTGTAGCTATACTTTTTTTCAAGTACATAAATATTACTTTCAAACCCAAATAATCCGTCTTCAACTTGTCCTTTTTACAATCTGCAGACGATGTCCCGAGTGTGGTGGTGAACCATGAAGAATAGAGAATTTCATTTGTGGTCCGTCTCTATCGACACTCAAGAGTAGAAACATCTGGAATGTGTTTGCTAAGCTCGTCACTATCTTACCATTGGACATGAAGTTGTAATGCTCTGCAGATTTATAGGAAGAGGAATCAACAAGAAGAATACTTGACAAAGTTCAGAAACGTGAGGAGGAGCTCACCTGTATGAAGTAATCCTCTTCAGTTTGGAAGCTGGCACATCATAGCCACATTCCTCCAGCACTTCCTGCCGCGCGATCTCCTCCAGGGAGAGGTCTGGTTTGTCCACCAGGCCGGCACAGAGCTCGTAGGTGACCCCCGCCGAGGCCGGGGGCAACTGGGACGAGCTCTCCTCCGCCGAGGCCGGCTGGCCCTCCTGAGACTCGGACGCTTCGGCCTCTTCGGACTTTTCGGCCGGCTGAGAAGTCTTTGTCTTGGCCTTTTCCCACTCACACATGTACACAGCTGGAAGTAAATGAGATGAAAAACTATGAATTATGGGGAAACTGTAAGAAAATTCAATCATAGATTTGTGTAGTTATGAGGTCATTTGTTTGTTTTTCAATAATGTTGCTCACGTTTCAAGTATGAATAAAGACCTTGTGAGTCATATTCTGCAGAGGGATGACAGGATTATGGGTTATGGTCATTAATATTCATGACATGCAAATTTCTGGCCTCTGATTGGCTCACAGCAACGCAACGCTTCCATTGCCTTGGTTTGCTCTTCTGTCTTGGGCCAAAAAAATGCAACAATGACGTGTTAGCTCCAGAAATATCACAGGCCTGAAGTAATGACCGTATAAAAAAATCGACAAGCCCTCCACGCCATGACTACAGTTTCTGAGCTGAACTGAAGCCCAAAGGGCGGATCCTACCACCGCCATCAAGGCCACGTCACACTAGGGCTGGACGATATAGAAAAATAGTATATCAATAAAAAAATGTTTTACTTTGATTAATATTGATAATTATAGAAAAATATTTTTAAAATTGTAGAAATATATTTTACTTGCAGCCCTGGCCATTTTATTTTATTTTATTTTTTTTTCTCCACCTCTTCTCATTGCGACATCTTGCTGCCTCATGCTCTGTTTTGGTTAGAGAGCGGAGGGCCTGGTGACGTAGCGTGCCCGAGTCTGTGGTTTTGATTGGTTAAGAGTAAGTTCCCACTGTGCAAAGACCTAGTTTTGACTTTCTACAGACGTGTTCTGGACCGACAAACTCAATATAGACATGATCTGCACGTCCATGCGACGCTGACTGTTTGCAGGGTAGAGAGTCTAGTATGCTGCTACCTGATGGGTTATAACGAAAAAAGGAAAATTTTTTATCTAAGTTTATTTGACCCATTTTTTTTTCTATCGCACCACATGTCTAGCAATAGATATAGTGAACTATTGAATTATCGTCCAGCCCTACGTCACGCGTCTCATCGCTCCTGGAAATGACGGAAATTGAGCTGAGGGCAGAGCTGTGAGGGTAAGGGCAGATGATCGACACCAATCAAACTCTAAGCTGATGTAGCTTTGAGCTAATTGAGCTAACCAAAGTTAAAAGAGGTTAGCGGGCGCTTTTAAGGCTGATTCATGCTTTTCCGTCTGCGTCAGTGTGGAGACACGCAACGCCATTATCCGTCCTTGTGAGCCTGCTGGAGAGCCTCGCAAGCACAGACGGAGTCGAGCTCTCTTTTCTAAACATCCGTTCGTCAAGACGGAGAACGCAAGCTTGTGATTGGTCAGGGCACTGCTGTCGTCTCCACCGCCGCCATTGCGCCCTCAAAAACATAAAGAGAGCCGAGAATAACTAGCGGCAGACACGGAGAAGCTTGAAGAATACCTCGCAAAAAAACTCTAAAAATATGAACGTTTAATTCCCCCGTGACTGGAGGAGTGAAAAGATGCGCAGCAAGTGTTTTATTTGTGGACGGAAATGACAGGAAACGTGGGTTTAGAGGTGGCGAGCGCATGAAGAGGAGGAGGATGAGAGACAAATTTGTCTGTGTTAAAAAGTCTCTTATATACAAAAAAACACAATATAAACACACTATCTTGGACCGGATACATGACAGGATACAACAGAACAGCGCTACGCCCTCTGTTGTCCTGGTGGGGAATTGCTTTGCAACACTCCCCAGGAGACAGAGAAGTATGAAAGCAAAACGCTTCCGTCAATCCGTGCGTGTCTGTCCCTTGCAGAGCTGACGGAGAAGCATGAATCAGGCTTTAGGCTGAAACCTGCGATTGAACGACTCTTCAGTCTTCTAGGTTGTAACACTTTTAACATGAGGCTGAGACCTTCCCTGGAGCAAGCAGGAGGGCTAGCCACTAGCGCTAATGCCAATGGCCCCTCTGCTATATGTCAATCAAATTGACACACCCCTAATTATTCATAATTTCAAGCTTTAATTCCATCCAAATGGTTGAGTTACAAAAAAGTTCAGCCCTCTAAGAGTTGTCATGACGGTAAACTTGACCTTGGCTTTTTGTCACTTCTGTCACTTTCTGTCACGTGGAGTTTGCCACAGTCTGAACGTATTCCACCACGTTTTAGAATTTACTGATGCTAATAGTTAGCTTCTAGTAGCCGAGATGCACCCTGCTCTCGCCTTCCTGTGGGTGGTCACAAGCCAAGACAGGCAAGGCTATCTGTCCTTAACTGCCCGGATCGATTTCCCGTCTCTTTCCTTTCTGTAGCTAATGCCGACGGTAGACGTCTAAGAAAACGTTCATCAGTAGATGCAACTAGGAGTGATGATCATATGTCAAAAACAGAAGTATTACACAGTTTCTCAGTGAACAAAAACATGTTATTCTTTGTTGTTCCCATTTTTCCTTCCATCATCATTTATAAATGAAGGGAGGGAAAACTATATCAACACCCGGACTTCCTTGAATTTAGCACAAAGCAGTGTGAAAAGCCCCTGGCAACTTTTAACAAAGGAGGATAAGCTGCTTTGTACTGTAATGGGGGCTGTTGAGGGTCTATTTATGAGTACTTTTCAACAATCCAGTTGGTTAAACAGAGCTTACAATGCCCTGTGTGTTTTATAGTGAAAGTGTCCACACAATGTTTAAGGGTCCAATTTTGTGACGACAACAAGATGAATAAAATGTGGTTTATTCATCGTTATTTTACATAATTCATCAAAGATGAACAGAGAAAGGAAAACATACCTGGACGGAACTGTTTGACGAGGACAAAACAGTGTGAGGTGGTGTTGAAGATCAGGACGGATACACTGCAAAAGAGCAGGAAAAGCAGCAAAAAAGATTTCTGCATTACATATAGATGTTGTTTCTTTCAAAGAATTCACGATAAATGATTATAACAAGGCATCATTAAGTTAGAGAGAGCAGCAAGTTTATTCTGTTTTCCCGCCACTGGAAAAAACAAGTTTATTGGTGTTTCCTGCATGATTGAACTAATATTATTTATGTAAAATACAAATGTAGGCTTTTACTTTACTGAATTGTTATGCTGTTTTGCTTTTATGCACTTTTTACTGCTTTAGTTTTTATATTTAAAGAGAATAAAATAGAAATAATTCCAGGAAAATTGAATTTTGTATGATTTGTTTTAGCTGTGTTTGTTTAAAATATATTTATCTACAGCAGGGATTCTGGTCTTGATTGCAGACTCAAATGTTCGTGCACTTTAATTACAATTACAAAAATGCTTAAGACTGCTTGGTGTCATGCATTCATGTGCTGCTTGTCAATAATAGATCTGACCAGTTAGATGGATCTACACCTGGTTTAGATGATTCCAACCAAGATGCTCCAACCCACACAGAACGTCGTTTTGCATGAATGTATTTCAAAACAAACATAAAAACCATCAGATTATGATGCAATGTCAGATGTATATTTGTTCTGGACATTTCCTGTTGTAAAGCTACCAAAAATAAAAGTGACGGTAAAAACTTCTAAAATAGGAAGATGGAGATCAGGAGGTCACATTGCTGAGATTTTAACTAGTTACTATCAGGATATGGAAGGAAAACCAGACCGATGGTCAGTGTGAACTGTTAGCTGAGCTGCTCTGTGTGTGTGTGTGTGTGTGTGTGTGTGTGTGTGTGTTTTCGTGCGTGCGTGCGTGCGTGTGCTTGCGTGCGCGTATGGAGACTCAAGGCCCGAGGTCTGTGTTGGGAAAGCGGATGCGTCTGAGGCAGCAGGAAGCCCTGCCCTGTCTTTCCCATGCTAAAAGGGAACCAGCAGTTTGCTGTTAAAGCATCGAACCAAGAGGTGGGCAATCCTGGTACTCCAAGGGCCGCTATCCAGCAGGTTTTAGTGGTTTTCCTGCTTAAACATACCTGGTTTAAATCTGCTGATGATCAACAGGCTGCTAATGATGGGTAAATTAGAGCATCCTGGTGCAATAAGCTATACTTTATGCATGACACGATTAGTCGACTATTAAAATAGTCGTTTGTGGTGGCCCCAGTTGGGTCGGCTCAGCACAAAACAAACGTCAGGAAAGAATGGCTGAAAAAAACGGCCAGCTCCGCAAGAACAGCACATGAAAACACTAATTTAGACAGAATAACCCCACCTGGCTCAGACCACGCTGATCCTATAGTGTAAAAGAGATTTTCTGGGCACTTCCTACAAGGAAGACACTCCAAAGCTCACTCAGAACTCATTGAAGGGATTATACTCCGTGTCTGGCCTGGGAATTTCTGGGATCTCCCAGGAAGATTTGGATTTTTTACATCCACGTGGATAAGTGGTACGAGTAGGATGGACGGACAGGCAGTATCAAGAAGTTGTAATAATTTAAACAGAACTGGAACTGAAGCATCACCTAAAAGTTGACTTTAATACAAAACACTTTAGTTTAGGCAACACAAATTAGCCATTGATTAGCTGCCACTTAATATGTACATTAGTGGACTATGAAGTCTGAACTAGTCATTATTAAGCACTTATTAACAGCTTATTACTAATGCTATAATTCTAAAATTAACAGGCCATAAATTAGGAGTTTTATCATAATAAGCCATTCATAATGGTTTGTTAATGGAAAGTAAATGGTTGGTTGCTGATTAACGCACATACTAAGTAGCTCAAATCAATATGTGGCTTTTAAAGAAGTAATTCAAGGGGAACATATTCTTGCCTTTAAGTGGTTAATAAAACCGAACTACTAGTAATTAGGTATGAACAAAATCTGACTTAAGAATTGGGAACAGATTCTTGCTTACAAGTGGCTAATTGATTGTGGCTCTATTAACACTTGGAGTTTGGTGTTTATTTACATAATACAACATATTTTTGGTTATTAATGCAGAATTAATTATTCCCCCTTAATTACTTCTTTAAAAGCCACATATTGATTTGATCTCATTAGTATGTGTGTTAATCAGCAACAAACCATTTACTTTCAGTTAAACCATTATGAATGGCTTATTATGATAAAACTCCTAATTTATGGCCTGTTAATGTTATAATTACAGCATTTTAATAAGCACCTAATAATAGCTTAAT